AGTTAAAGTATTTTCAGTAGTCAGGATACTAATAATGTCTGTCTTCCATGTGGATACTTTGATAGTCAACAGGAGGTGGACTCACGATGCATAATTTCTTTTGCAGAAGTCTAATAAAGCTAATGAAGTTTCTTTTCTCTGCTTTCATGAACTTATTATATTCTATATTCCTGAAAAGTATGAGTAGTAAATATTTCTGAGGCTTCTGCACTTCAGACTTTATCTGAAGTGATGAAAATGTCCCAAATGTATTGTGGGTAAGTGCCAGACAGGCAGATGCTTGGAAGTACACAGAATGTGTTCACTAAGTTTTATTTTCTCACAAAATGAATCTCAGAAGCTTGACTAATTTTGCACATTTCTTCACGCCGAATGGCTTATGATGGTGTCTTCATTTCAGCAAAGAGCTGGTAAAATTGAGGTGGGATCTAACAGACGTACACCTGGTTTCTTCTGGGCTTAACATATCTTATTACATTTCCTAGGAACAAGGATGTAAGCACATTCTAGGATATTAGTGCTCTAGGAAAACTAAAGCCACTAGACACACATACTGTCCAGCAGCCAGGGGTCCACATCTTTGTCAGAGAAGCTACAAATATATTATGTTTCCTCTGGATCAAAACCACAGTGAAAATGAAAATCCTCATGTACACACATCCACCTCTACAGCCTAGCTTTTCCCAAATACTACCAAACTAGGACTACTTCCAGGGCATCAAGCTCTGCATCTGGGGGTTAGGTTTCCTAGTCACATAAATTCACTTAAACCAGAGATAAGAGTAGATTAAGAATGAGGAAAAGAGCAGCTCCCAGAAAAGAAAATTCAATTCCTCCACAACACCTAAAAAAAATTAAGAAAGGTATATTAGCTCACCCATACAGCCTCTGGAAACTGTGTCCCAGGGTACTTGAAGACAGTAGAATCAGAGTCACTACCTATCCACCTCTCCTTTTTTTTTCCAGTCTCTTTTTTCCCCAGCCTGTAAGCTGCAGCTTATTTTTCTGACAGTTACCTTGTACTTGGTGCTGTGGTAGACAAAGGTTATTGGAATTTATATGCAAAGTTCAATGAATATAGAATTAAAAAATGCCTTGGAGACATTGCTGAAATGAGATGCCAAATCCCAGAATTTGTATCTTTATGAGGAAAATCTGAATACAAAACACCAAGGTTTATGGCTCTTGCACATATTAATTCATACCAATCCTTATTCTAAGAGGACTAAAGGGGCTATTTTTCATCCTGGGCTGAGACAGGAACTCTTCTACATTCACTGACTTCCTACAAGAAGTATACTTTATCAGGTTTGATAGATACCTTTAAAATGTAAATCAGAATGGTGAGCTTATCACAAGACTACCATTAGCAGCCCATAAAATTTTTGATGTTGCAGGTCCCAAGACGTTTTGGGAGCAAGGTGAGAAAACTGGTCAGCAAAAAATACCCTTAACTAGACACTTCATTATCTGTCTTTTATGAAAATTACCAACACTGAAATAAAAAAAAAAATATTATACATCCACCCCCTTGACAGCTAGCAATTACCTTGATTTTGTGGGAGGGTCTAGATTTTGAAAGATATTATTATAATTGTGCAGACTCTAGAAATGCAGTGTTCCCTGGAATCATCCCTGGAGGTGTTTAAGGCCAGGTTGGATGGTATTCTGAGACACCTGGTCTAGTGAAAAGTGATCCTGCCCATGGCAGGGAGGTTGAAACTAATTGATTGTTAAGGTCCCTTCCAACCCAAACCATTTTACGATTCTATTATTCTTTGAATTCTTACCTCATCTTTGGCCCAAGTGTTTTGTCTGCCTGGAGATAAAAATGAAAATCATTTGTCCTGTGGAAACCCCAGATGTTCTCCTTAAGGAGCACTGTGCAATATTTTCTCTCAGATGTCCTACAGGTAGTCCTTTGGGTTTGTATCTTTTTTGTTGTGTTGTAAACTGTTCACTTCAGGTTTACATTTCAGAAGCACCCAAGGCTCAGAAGCTTGAAATAATGATGCTAGCAAAAAAAAAATCACAAAGGATAGAAATTTCCTCTGAAAACAATATTTACATTAATACTTTCAAATGCATGCAATAACTGGAATGACAGTGGCCATGATATTTCCATCCCTGTAAGGCTATTACTGATTTTTCCTCTTGCTGGTAAAAGCACATGCTGCACTCTGTGTCTTTTTCATGCACATGTGCGAGCACACACGGGCAGATGATGTGCTTTCAAGCCATTCACAGATGGTTTCCCCATCAGGGTTTACTTTGCCTTTTAGGTCTCCTGCTTCACATCCTCCTCTCAGTGCTTCAGTCCCTATTTTATGTAATTAACTTCTGTTCCGCCCCCCATTTTTTTTTCTTTTCATAAATGCATTTCACTCTGATGCTCAGAGTCAACTGTCTCCCCAAAGCACTGTGATATTTACCAGCATCCGGAAAAAAATGTGGTTAGAGAATTGAGACACTTAAAGGAGACACTGCTGTCTTAAGTGTGCATTCACATTTTTGAATAGATATTCAGAGGGTGGGAATGTAGATGAGGGAGAAGCTGTGAAAGGGCTTATTACTAATTAACTGTATCTATTTCTCCCCCTTTTAAACTTCTTTTTGTTTATCATTTCAGCTGGTAGGGTAATACACTAAATTAAAGCTGCAGAACGCAATTATAATTAAGATTGAAAAAGCCAATTGCCTGTTAGCAAACTACCAATTGATAATAATGTAAGGGTTATTTATAGTTCTTTGCTAAGTATGCCACAGATTTGCATCAATAACGCACTTGTTAATCTCCAAACATTTTGTTCAGTAGCCTTTTATTTACTATTGAAGGTAAGATTGCTCTTCTCAAGCCATCCATTCTAAAAGGATGCCCAACAAGAGGTGGGCTTTCCTCTTGTTTGTAAAGTTCAGCAAACATAGACGCTTTAGTCATTTCTTCCTCTATGAAATAGTAATAACAGAATACAGTTATTATCATCACACCATGCAGTAAACCTTGCCCTAAAGATCATACTATACATTGTTCAGTACTCATAGCATCTTGCATTTCTACAGCTGCTTTTTCTGACTCATCTCATGTATTCTAGAGTGGAGATACCAAACCATCTTACCCAGGGGAGGAATCGGGAACCTTTGATCAGTGTCCCAAACACTGGGGCCCCAGTTTTCACTCCTTTCACAAGAAAGTAGAGCAAGACTTGTTTAAAGAGCTTTTTAAAAACTACTCAAGTGATAGATTTTGTTTTGTATTCAGTGTGTGTTACTGGGAGTTTAGTAACTTCTATAATTTCTTTTAATTATTATAAAAAGTCTGCATAACTGTCATTTCAGGTGTGTGATGGACTGTAAATAATTATGATGCAACTTTTTTGTGAAGTGTGTTTCTTGTGACAGATGAGTTTGAGTGGAGTCGTAGTACTAATTATTGAAGTTATCCCATCATGTGTACAGCAGTTGTAGAACCAGCTTAGGCACTGGTGACTGGCAAACATTTACTAGGCATTACAGGGGCAATCAATTAATACAAGGATGTCTTATCTCTTATTGTATCATGACATCTCTTGAAACACAAGTGCAAAAAACACTAAACCTATGAGCACTGTGTGATTGAGAAGGGATATGGCATATACCAAAGACCAAGGATAGTAATGCAAGTTTATGTGGTGGATGTAGGTTAAAGAGAGGCAGAATGGCTATGTTGAATACTACAAGCTGAATTATGCCTGTTGGTACTGCCACAGGTGAGGGTCTCGGAGACTAGAACTTACCACCTTAGCAAAAAAAGCCTGGGGGATCCCTTACAGAAATGTAGCTCTCTGTCTCCCTGCTGCTTTACTCAGAAAGAGAATGAGGGTAAGAAATTAATGATCTACCCATTCCTCAGGCCTGCTTGATAGCATGGTCTGTGAAAGGGAGAGACAGAAAAAATGCTAGTTTACCTATGCCCTGCACATGTGGAAGAATGACAGAAAATGCATGTAAGTAGATATTCCCAAACCTGAAGCAGGTCTGCGACTTCTCCAAACCTCAACTGGTCCCTGTGAGCCAGCCTGTAAATACATTTAGTTTATTCTTCAGATACCTTACAAGTCAAGCTGGAAAAGCATGTGAGAGCTTTAAAAAAAGGGAGACAGTGGTGCAAAGAGGAATGGGTAGGATACAAGGAAGAGCCATGGAGGCAGGCAAGAGCTTTGCTGTCACTACAACAGAAGGGATTGCAGTCTGAGAGCATGAGGTTGTCAAAAATCCTGCCAGGATACTAGTGTAACTCAAGTTTCCCCTGGATCCGTTCTCTTTGGAACTGGATGTTGTCATCCTTTTCGCAGGTTGGTTGAGCACAGGGTGAATCCAGGTAACAATTATGCAAGTAATTTCTTCTTCCTGTACTGTCTATCATTAATTTTATTATGGGTGGGCAAGTGACTTGCCCCAGAACTGGCCAGATAATTAAATTGTCATTATTAACCACATTACTGAAGGGGAAATATGCAATTATTTTTATCCATAAAATCATCTGCTTCAACCCTAATTCCATATTATTTTGCACCAGTAAGTAATTACTATACATATTATTTCTAGCTTCTACCCTCAAAGAAACAGACACTACTCCAAATGAAATCTTCCAGGATTTTCAGTAAGTCATACAATCTGATGATAGGATTTGTCCACTACCAGCTACTCAATAAAAATTATAATGCTGTGACTAGAAAATGGGCAGTCACAAGACCCTGTTACCAGGCATAAGTACTAGCAATTCCTATCCTGTTCAGATTTGGAACCAAACACACCTCTTCTTTTTTTTTTTTTTTTTCTTTAGGAAGAAATACTTTGGAGAAACATGTTTCTATAACATTTATCCTTCCCACCCTGGAGTGCTGAAGCCTCTAGGTGTGACTCCTGAGAGGAGGTACTGCAAAATTTTTCTGGAGGTAAAACATAGGAGGAAACCTGTATATCATAATTGCTGATATTCCTTGTTACTTCATTTCTTTCAGGTACTGTTGCGTGATTTACAATGGAAAAATTGCTCTGCAGCATCCTGGTGTTTGGAATGGCTGTCACGGTCAATGCTTGTCCCAAATATTGTGTCTGTCAGAACCTGTCTGAGTCACTGGGGACTTTGTGTCCCTCCAAGGGTCTCCTTTTTGTGCCGCTGGACATAGATCGAAGGACTGTTGAACTCCGTCTTGGGGGCAACTTTATTATTAATATCAGCCGACAGGATTTTGCCAATATGTCTGGACTTGTCGACCTTACTTTGTCCAGAAACACCATCAGTTACATACAGCCCTACTCTTTCACTGACTTGGAGAGCCTTCGCTCTTTACATCTGGACAGCAACAGGCTGCCTGACATTGGAGAGGATATTTTGAGAGGCTTAATTAACCTTCAGCATTTGATTTTAAACAACAACCAGCTAAGCAGCATTTCTGAGGAAGCCTTTGAGGATTTTTTGCTGACATTGGAAGACTTAGACCTTTCCTACAATAACCTCCGAAGCATTCCCTGGGAATCTATAAGAAGGATGATAAACTTGCACCAGCTCAGTTTAGATCACAATCTGATAGATTATATAACAGAGGGGACATTTGCAGATCTTCAGAAACTGGCCCGATTGGATCTAACATCCAACAGACTGCAGAAGCTCCCCCCTGACCCTATATTTGCCAGATCTCAAGTAATTCCATTAGCTGTTACCCCGTTTTCTCCACCCTTGTCTCTCAGCTTTGGGGGAAATCCACTGCATTGCAACTGTGAGCTACTGTGGTTAAGGCGACTTGACAGAGACGACGATATGGAAACTTGTGCTTCTCCTCCAGGTCTAAAAGGAAGGTACTTCTGGTACGTGCGGGAAGAAGAATTCGTTTGTGAGCCTCCTCTTATCACACAACATACTCACAAGTTGCTGGTTTTAGAAGGGCAAACTGCCACGCTGAAATGCAAAGCCATTGGGGATCCCACTCCCATCATTCACTGGGTAGCTCCCGATGACCGTTTGATCGGAAACTCTTCGAGGACAGCTGTCTATGACAATGGCACCTTAGATATACTCATCACCACCTCCAAGGATTATGGAACTTTCACATGCATAGCAGCGAATGCTGCCGGAGAGTCCACTGCAACAATTGAACTCTCAATTGTTCAGCTTCCCCATCTCAGCAATGGCACAGGCCGATCAGCTCCCCCAAAATCCAGGCTCTCGGACATCACCAGCTCCACCAAGTCGAATCGTGGGGAAACAAAAAGCCCGCCAGAAAGGGCTGTCCTGGTGTCAGATGTGACCACTACCTCAGCTTTGGTCAAGTGGACAGTGAGCAAGTCGGCCCCTCGGGTAAAAATGTATCAGCTGCAGTATAACTGCTCGGATGATGAAGTCCTGATCTACAGGTAAATGCAGTTGTTTGGTCCTCTGATGATGGCAAGGGGGGTAGAAATTGGTATATGTAGTCTTTTACTCCAAGGTCACTGATTTGACTTTGAAATGAGATAGTGCTGCCACCAGTAGCATTAGTGGTGTCTGATAAATTTAAATTCTGTCTGTCAGAACTTGTCTGAGTCACTGGGGACTTTGTGTCCCTCCAAGGGTCTCCTTTTTGTGCCGCTGGACATAGATCGAAGGACTGTTGAACTCCGTCTTGGGGGCAACTTTATTATTAATATCAGCCGACAGGATTTTGCCAATATGTCTGGACTTGTCGACCTTACTTTGTCCAGAAACACCATCAGTTACATACAACCCTACTCTTTCACCGACTTGGAGAGCCTTCGCTCTTTACATCTGGACAGCAACAGGCTGCCTGACATTGGAGAGGATATTTTGAGAGGCTTAATTAACCTTCAGCATTTGATTTTAAACAACAACCAGCTAAGCAGCATTTCTGAGGAAGCCTTTGAGGATTTTTTGCTGACATTGGAAGACTTAGACCTTTCCTACAATAACCTCCGAAGCATTCCCTGGGAATCTATAAGAAGGATGATAAATTTGCACCAGCTCAGTTTAGATCACAACCTGATAGATTATATAACAGAGGGGACGTTTGCAGATCTTCAGAAACTGGCCCGATTGGATCTAACATCCAACAGACTGCAGAAGCTCCCCCTGACCCTATATTTGCCAGATCTCAAGTAATTCCATTAGCTGTTACCCCGTTTTCTCCACCCTTGTCTCTCAGCTTTGGGGGAAATCCACTGCATTGCAACTGTGAGCTACTGTGGTTAAGGCGACTTGACAGAGACGACGATATGGAAACTTGTGCTTCTCCTCCAGGTCTAAAAGGAAGGTACTTCTGGTACGTGCGGGAAGAAGAATTCGTTTGTGAGCCTCCTCTTATCACACAACATACTCACAAGTTGCTGGTTTTAGAAGGGCAAACTGCCACGCTGAAATGCAAAGCCATTGGGGATCCCACTCCCATCATTCACTGGGTAGCTCCCGATGACCGTTTGATCGGAAACTCTTCGAGGACAGCTGTCTATGACAATGGCACCTTAGATATACTCATCACCACCTCCAAGGATTATGGAACTTTCACATGCATAGCAGCGAATGCTGCCGGAGAGTCCACTGCAACAATTGAACTCTCAATTGTTCAGCTTCCCCATCTCAGCAATGGCACAGGCCGATCAGCTCCCCCAAAATCCAGGCTCTCGGACATCACCAGCTCCACCAAGTCGAATCGTGGGGAAACAAAAAGCCCGCCAGAAAGGGCTGTCCTGGTGTCAGATGTGACCACTACCTCAGCTTTGGTCAAGTGGACAGTGAGCAAGTCGGCCCCTCGGGTAAAAATGTATCAGCTGCAGTATAACTGCTCGGATGATGAAGTCCTGATCTACAGGTAAATGCAGTTGTTTGGTCCTCTGATGATGGCAAGGGGGGTAGAAATTGGTATATGTAGTCTTTTACTCCAAGGTCACTGATTTGACTTTGAAATGAGATAGTGCTGCCACCAGTAGCATTAGTGGTGTCTGATAAATTTAAATTCTGTCTGTCAGTTTGCCTGTTGGTCTGTTCATTGCTTTTCTGCTGAAGTCATATGTTACAAATTTCTGTAGTATTCATTCTCTAACAACAGCTGTTTTCAGTAAAATTTCCAATTAAGGAAAAAATAGTACTGCAGTTAGGAGACTCCTTACTAGGCATAACAAAGAAAGGAAAACTTGAAGACTAGAAGTCAGAAATTTCCCTTTCCACCTTCTGTAGGTGGGATTGAAACACACTACTGAGAAAGGAAGCAATGTGGGAGGAAGTTTATGCTGTCTACCCATAACACAGGCTCTAATTACTCTGTGATTTAAGATTTGGGGTTGTTAACAAGAGGTTTTTCACCTGTTATAAAAAGACCTCATTTTTTACTTCACTAAGGACTGTTTTACACAACTGTAATGGCTGACAACTTTGTATTAATGTTTAATACAATATTAAATGCAAGAAGAGATAGATATAATTTCAGAAGCAAGCCCTAAATGTTCCTTATGTTCCTCCAGTTCTACAACTCCTCTGACTTTTAATGATGTAAAGCAAGAATCACTCTTGCAGTGAAGCAACAATACATTTTAGGGATTAAAAACATGTAGGAACAGTACAGGAAAACAGCATTACTGTTCTATATTGTGAGAATAATTGACACAGTATCTTCGTGCTAGTGATGATTCCCTAAAAACCACTCTTTCCTTCCTTTTAATTGCAAAGGAAACACTATCAGATGCATTGAACTGAAGTCTCTCTTTGGCTGTATGTGAGGTACCAGCAGAAGTCAGAATCTCATGGAAAAGTAGAACCAAACACACCAAGCATACCGAAGCAGTGAAGAAAAATTGGATTAGGTAGAGGAATAATGGGTTTTAGGGTTTGACTCTAATTTGAGTATAAACTGTGGCCAAAACACAGTCAAAGCCATTGACTTCCTCCGTAGGTTTGTTGTTATTACCTGCTGGCTACTCTGTCCTTCTCCTACTGCCTATGGGGGAGAGCTGAAGCACATATCAAGTCATGGTACCCAGCCTCCAGATCCCACAACAGGCCTTGTTATTTTCTTCTTTACCATAATATAATTTTCTTTACCATGAGGAAATATAATTTTACTATCTCAAAATAAGAGATAGTAAATGTTCATGTGTAATTTTTCCCTCACCCTTCTCTTACAATGAAATCTAATTTTAAAGTTGCTTCATAACTGAATGTTTAGTTGACATAGACAAATGTCTGTGCAGTACTTTTATCTGAATCACTTTTGGAACAGAAGGAATAAGGTAATCTATTTAGCTACCCCATACTACTCATTCATTGTCAAAATTAGGAATATTGACCATCAAGCCTAAAGAACAATTTTTTTAAAGGATATTTATTCAAATACTGAAATAATTTGAGGAAATTCAGTTCTGTCCACTTCCATTCCTCAGTCATAAAAATATGCTGAAATAATCAAATTTATTAGCAAGTGGACATTATTTGCTTTGCTCTGGCTACAGAGCAAAGTGTAACAGTGGAACCTGTGTGTTAGCTTTGGGACTTGCAACTATGTGGAGTTAAGTAGAATGAAAGGATAAGATAAAACTAGATAATGATAGAGAATTAGAATTAGAATGAAAGAAAACATGCTAGTTCCATTTTTTTTTCCCCAAGGCAATGGTCTGGCAAAAATTCACCGGTATTTAAGATTCTGTAAGGCTTAAAAGTATATATCTGAAGGATGTGTATAGTCATATGTTTGTTGTATAAAGAATCTGGCCCAGTGTACAGGAATATCCCTGCAACCAGAAAGAGAAGCTTGTGGGCGTTGTCAGGTGTTAGAAGTGGTTGCATATGCCAATTTTCTGAGAAGGAGGATGGCCAGGTAAAAAAACCAAGCAATGCAGAAGGGAAGACGTGATGTCTAGTAGTTGGATGGGTGAGAACTGGGTCTCATGGACAGAAATGATAGAAAGATGTTGTCTTGCCAGCCTGGTCTGGAGGAAAAAGTGGCTGTCAAGGTGTTGGGCAACTTAAATTTTTATCCTGTCTCCAATGCTGCCTCTCAGTGAGGATTTGGCCCTTTATTGCTTTGCTTGGTTGTGGCTCAGTTTTTCAGAAGCAGTGAGGACAGTGCTATTTCTATAAATCTCCCATCAGACCTTTTTGATGATTCATTGATGATGCAGAACTCTTTTCATTCACAGCTCTCAAAAGCACTTCACCAAAGAAAACAAATTTTATTTCTCTACATTTTGCACCAGGGAAAAATGAAGCATAGAAAGATGAAGTGATTGTCCAGCATCTGAGAGTTAATCAATGGTACTCATAATATCAAAACCAGTTCTTACGACTTCTGGTTGGGGAACCACTCAGTCCCTTAGAGTTAATTAACTAAATCTGTTTTGCTTTAAGTGGTCTGATGCATATCACTGCAACGAGTGTGTAGAAAAACCTAAGGGAAAAGGATTTCTACAGTGCTCTGCTCTATAAAATGCTGTGTATGTGCTAAATGGGACGTGACACTGCTTAGCTGCTGAAATGATGAGCACTTAATATATGCTGAGATAGTCAGTATACCAGGACTGAGACACAGTGTGCTCAGCTTGAAGGAATCCTGCTAGTAAGAAACACATGCACAAAAGAAAGACATTTACCGCACTCTCTGCTAAGAATTTTTCATGAACAATGTGCTCATAATGAAAGAGTGAAAGCAGAAGTTCTCCCCTACCCACTGATGTGAGCTCCATTTCTGCTGATCATTACCCAAGACACCAGTGTGACTCCCCTTTCCATCCCAGCTGTGGTCTTCCACTGGCAGGAGCTGCAGATGGTGCAAAGGGGACAATGGCTCAGTAACTAGCAGTATTCCCCAAGAGTCAGTAATGGTCCACAACCTATTTAACATCCAATTCCATTTACTATCTTCAATAATGACCTGTACGATGGCATAGAACGTACCCTCTGCAATTTTGCTGGTGACACAAAACAGTGAGGAGTGGCTTATAGACCAATGTCATGCTGCCATCCAGAGGGACCCTGACAGGTAAGAGAAATGGGCTGAGAAGAACACCATGATATTCAGTAAAAGGAAAATACCAAGTCCCACTCCTGAAGAGGAATAACCCCATGCACTGGATGGGGTTATTATATATATATTATATTATATATTATATATATAATATATATTAGATTATGCACCTGGCTAGAAAGTAGCTTTGCAGAAAAGAACCTGGGTGTCCTGCTGGACATAAGGTTGAACATGAGGCAGAAATGGGTCCTTGCCATAGAGAAGGCTAATGATATCCCGGTCTGCATGTGGAGGAGTATTGCCAAAAGTTTGAGGAAGGGGATTCTTTTGCTCTACCCAGCACCAGTGAGACCACACCTGAAAGTACTGTGTCCAGTTCTGGGCGGCCCAATAGAAGAGAGACATAAGCATACTGTAGAGACTCCACCAAAGAGCCACCAAAATATTTAAGGAACTGGAGCACCTCACACTGAAGGAAAGGCTGAAACCTGTGACTCATTAGTCTGAAGAAGAGAAAAGTCAGGGGGGAACTCATCAATATGTACAAATATCTGAAGGAGGGAGTGAGGAGACAGAGTCAAGCTTTTTTAGGATTGCCGGCTGCTAGGGGCACCATCTGAAAGTGCATATCTGAACATCAGGAAATATTTTTTTTCTATGAGGGCGACTGACCACTGCTACAGCTGTGTCGTAGAGCTGGTAGAGTCTCCATCCTTAAAAGCCATCTGAACATGGTCCTGTGCAAGTGGGCCTAGGTGAATCGATTTAAGCAAGGGAGCTGAATGAGATGACCTCCAGCAGCTCTTTATAACCTCAACAGTTCTGTGATTCCATAATCCTGAGTGCCACTCAGGTAAACACTTCATTGGACCCTGTGAGTTAATCACTGAAGAAAAGATATTTGTAACTGTTCTTCTAGAGAAGTACAATACAATTTGCAAAGGTCAGAGCCAGGTGAATTTAGGTATGCTTATACAGATATGTGGGTTTTGATGCAGCAGTCTTTCCATTCTTTCATGTTTTCTGTAATATCAACCACCCCTAAACACACACCAGTGACAAAAAAGTGTACTGTACCCATCACTTTTAGCCAAGACCAGAAGTTTGTTACAAATTGCACAACTGAAAGCCATTTCTTCTTTGAAGGGAAAATATGCAGAAACAGCAACCAGTGTTCAACAGGGAAAGGAATGGAAGAAGACCAAGGTCTTCAAGGCAGTGTCTGTTCTTAATCTTAGGGTTAAAAGAGGAAACACTAGGAAACCTGGTCTATCGTAGAAATCTTACCTGCTCTTCTCAACCTAGAGTCTAAAAAGTGTTTTAGATGTGTAAGAGCATGAGACTTATGATCAGTGCAACTTAGGTACTGGTATGTTTAATTTACGTTGAATAAGGGATAGAATTGAAACATAAAAATCTAGAAGACAATATCTTTGGAACTCAGTTTCCCACCTCTAACCTGAGTTACAGCATTGCTTTGCTTCATAGGGATAAACACATTAGAAAATATAATGTAACCAGGACCCACATAACTGAACAGGGAGACTTGCTTTGAAGTCTTTGTGTGGTCTGCAGCAACAGGGATAGTCATGAATGATTAAGATGGAACATTACATAACTGCAACACTTGAATTCAACTAAGGCAGCTGGGGAGAGAGATTGTGGGGTTTTTATATATAGAGCACCCTATATGATTTGGGACCAAATCTCAGTTTTGGCCGGTGGGCATTGATGAAATACATACATTCACTACTTTTTCAAAAGTGAATAAATCTGCAAGTGTTTTGTAGAACTTCCCAGGTCATACTGAGCCTTCTGGCAGTGTTTGAATTAAAGCAATGATGCAGCCATTTAAA